GTGTTATCTGTGCTTCCCTTTCAGCATGCGCGCCACACTGCAGGCCAAACGCTTGGGCATCAAAACTCGACGCCAAAAGATGGTGAGTTGACTTTTTTTTTCTCCTCTTGTTTTGTCCAACGTCTGGAATCACGTCGAATTGCGAGGTTTTGCATGAAGTTTTGAATCATGGATAAGCCACCATCAGTCAAGGGCAGAGCTACCGCGGTTTTGCTTGCTACAACTTGTTTGGCGCAGCAAAGGAATAATCCATTGATTCACCACCTGGCGTGACAGTTTGTAGCCCACACGACTGAATGCACTATAAGTGATGACAAATGAAGGCCATTCGTTGATATTTCTTGATCCTGTTTTCATCAGCTATTCACGTATCCTTGATACGAAGCATATCTTCTCCTGGATCCCACATTCGTGTGTACTTGAGGTGGAGTAATTTTGCTTTCCTTGTACCACCTTCAGAAGATCATTATTAAAAAAATGCTGGCTGAGGTGAAGGAGGAGGAGGAGAAACAGCGAAGTGGTGAGGCTGGAAGGTCGGGAAATGCTTCTCCAAATAGTCCGACTGTACCTCCTCCAACTTTTCAGTCCTGTACCTGCTTTGGCACTGAAAGACGCAAAAACCGCCGTAGGATGGGTATGTTGTTGCCGTCTCAATTGTTCTCCAATTCATGCTGATTGATCCCTTGCTCTACTGATGGCGGCATTTAAGTAGTACTACGAAACCTCACCTTTTGGATTTTGCTTTTCCAGTTCTTGAAATGCTCAAAGACGTAGTCAATTCACCCAACCCCTCTGAATCTGCATCCATTTCTTCGGAGACTGTTCCTCCTGTCAAAAACCTCCATGAGTCTCTTCGACGAGAGCTTCTTAAAAAGCGACTCGGTTTAACCTCGCCATCATCTTCTCCACAGCTGATTCGATCACCTCAACGAGGAATGGAAATGGTTGCGGTGGGAGAAATCACGCCCTCTCCCACCTCGAAAATGGTCTCCCCTGTCTCTGTTAACGTTGATAGCCTTGTAGACGCGTCCATTCTTCATCGCCGCCCTTCGGCCTCTACTGCTACTCGACGACGTTTCATTTCGGATTCGGGGAATGGGCGCCCATCTTCCGTTTACGAAACTGTTAATTTTCCGCTAGCGCGAGATCTCAAAGATTTCATGTCTATAGACGATGTAAGACTGGAGAAAGCTCGATTTGTAACTGAGTATCTTGCTGGTGACGAGGGGAGACACTTGCTGCATGAAAATAAGGAAATGGCTGAATCTGTCAGTACGTGTGTATTAATTCAAACCATTGGGATTTTTTAGTCATTGTGAGGCTCACTTTCCCCTTCTCTGCAGTGTCTCTGGCTGAAGTTCTCCTTCCTCGACGATCGCCGAAAGACCGTTTCACCATCTACAATGAGGCTATTCTTACCGTCTATTCCTATGCCTGGTTCCACTTCACCTTCTGTCTTGCTGCTCTCTTCATGATGGCTCAGTTGACCAATTGGTATAAGTATGTCAACGTGAACTACAAATACTATTCATTAATGACATTTAAGTAAGATACTTTGCTCAAAGAGATATGAATGCGTTATGGTCTGAGTTTATAGCGTTACAAACGGGAATTTTACGCTGAAAATGTTTGGCTCCTAGCCAATCCACCATCCAAGAAGACCGTCTTACACAGACGTAGCAATACTGATTGGCAGGAACTGTCGAAACTCGGAATGCGACTGTGTCTGAGTCCGCATCAGACAGTCGGCCTTTTGGTGTAAGCTTTTCATAATTGAGTGGTCAGGAAACGCATAAGTCCTGTGTTTGAGAGTGGAAGTAACCAGAGATACGACTCTTGAACTCTGCCACAATTTAGTGTATGTGGGTTCTACTTTTTTACTATTCTATCCCGTAGTCCTGAACTATCCAGCCTCCAAACAGTGATGGAATCTTGGGCAAATATGTGGATGAAGTTATTTTCGGCGTTTTTGGCCCTCCTTCTCTATCTCTGGACTCTCTGCTTTATGCGATTTTGTTTTGCTCGAAGTCTCATTCAAACTCCCCTTAATCCAGCAACACATTGGGTTTCTAAGGAACCCGAAAGCAATCATGGGAAAAGGAGAAAACCCAAGTCGCTGACTTCATTGGTTTAAAAGCAAAGATGAATGCATTTTCGTGTATTTTATCCGTTAGGTGGCAAACTCATTCATTCATTGGTACCTGAAATGAGATTATATATCTTCAAGCCTTTGTTCTTCTTTCGAAAATGAGGTTCTTCAAATGTGGCCAAAAATTTGGATGCAGCCTGAGGTAAAAATAAATAACATTGCAGTTCATACGAGGTCTGTCGGTAAACAAGGTCCAAGAAGTTCCAGCAGCAAGATCTCCCTCTGAACTGCTTTCAAGTAAACCTCGGAGGTTATTTTTCCTTCATGATTGACGTCCTAGACTAAGGTTGAGTAAGCGCAAATATTGGTAACTAGTAGTTTAAAGGCGTATTCCACAAGGTCTCTAATGACTTCGTCGTTGTCCTCGTTGTCAGCTTGCTAAACGAAATAATTAACCAGTTTGTCGACCTCACATTGGCCAAACTCAAACTTAGCATTTGGAAAATCTCGTCCCTTGATATCACCCCATCGTCGTTTAAGTCGTACACGGAAAATGTAACTGATATAATATAAATTAAAAAAGCTTACAGAGAGCTTTCTCGAGAAGATCACCTCGAAGTAACACTGAGAGTCCTTTGACCCACTCTTCCATTGAAATTAAACCGTCGGAATTTTTATCAAAAACGCCAAAAACTGTTAAACCTCGAAGGCTTAGCAATGCTTACTCCTGTCAAGAATAAAATCATCATTGAGATTAAATATATTAAATAAGGTGTGACGGAAAATACTCCTGTCTAGGATTGTATTTTTGTTCTTCGATGTGATGTCGACATACAGGTGAAGAAGAGCCTCTGATTCAGACCTAGTGACTTAAGGTTCATTACTGCAACTTATTGGGTGTTACATTTAGTGTTTCGTGCAAGTCTCTCAGAGGCTTTGGAAATTCGTTTTCGTAAATTTGCTTTTGACATGATAATGTCAATCCGAGCGGTGTTGTCTCAAGGGCAGAATTGGTGTTTTTCTAGGTTGACACAAATAATTTGTCAGTCCTTAAGATTCATCGAACATATAGAAATGGCATTGTTCCGTTATTTGAAGTAAATTTTGGTAATTTAGCCAACTTTTTTAATTTTAAATCAGTAATGTATGTAGCTTAACTAAAGTGTTATTTCCTTTACGTGTGCATGAGTATATCGAGCACAGAGTTAAACTTAAAATGGCAGGAAAAGCATCCCAAAGTACATAGAAGCAAAAAGTGATTTAAGCTTATTACAGTATTGCAGTGCCCGGCTCTAGACTTTAACTACTGTGTCTAAAATTGAAACGCATTTTCAGCTTTATATAACCTTTCATACCTCCCAAGAATTCCCATTTGATGAAAGGTATTTGCAGCGTTCCAAAACTTCCCATAGGATGGAAGAAAGCAGTGAATGAGGCTAGATACATGCATTCCGAAGAGAAAAGAGCTAATGGGCCTGAGCATGGCCCGAAGACCAGCCCACGAGTACAAGGGCCAGGCAAACCCAAAGTCATCTCCGAACGTCAGTTAGTCACCTAAGTGACCTCCAGTTATGTCGGCATTACAATTATATCTTTTAAAGTGACATCAATTTCGATCTTTCAGCTTCCTTCCCTGCAAAATTTCTAAGTTGGTCGCCTATGTGTTGCCCGTTAGGCATAGCGAAGTGTAAAGGTGCTGCAGTGCTAATGAGGCAAAGATAATATCACGCTCTCTTCTACCAGAACCACGTTTAAATCTATTTACCTCTGAATATCGCAGTTTCATAGTGTCTCGAGACTTCCCTTTGACTGCTTACTAGTGCTCATTCGGGACGGATGGAAGTGAGGCATCGGCATAACCCAAGTCTTCAGCCCATCAGACAAAAAATGTAATGGCCGCAAGTCGAGTGAACAAAGCATTACAATCAAACTCCACTGGACAAGAGAAAGGCTGCAATCTTCATGTTATAGCCCTGCACCGCCTAGAGACATTTAAGATCATCTATTGTTTCTTCCACAACTTGCAAGAACACAAGACGACGCCAGCGGACCTCACGCTTAAGAGGAGCTGAAGGACTTGTTTAAATGTCTATTTTAATTAACGTAAATTTTCTATAAACTCGTAGTCCTAAATTGCCCCCATAAGCCACTCAAAGGATTTTCAGTCGGATTTTCGTCTTTGGATTCACAACACAGCTATTTGAAGTATCCATTCAGTGACTGTGACATCGGCCTGACAAGTTCTATCTCGTACTGGAATGCCTTGTCGAGTTAAGATTTGTTAATGCTAAGTGGAGGTAACTTATGCTTTAAAAGTTAGTCAAACAAGTCAGTGCTTGCTTTGTTGGGTAAAATCCGTAAAACTGTTTTGCAGGTCTGTACGGCTTTTCTTCGCATTCCGATGTGGTAAAGCAGCCTTCCTGTGAAAGCCTTGAGGGCTGTGACCCGACTCCCACTACTAGTGTCTGTCTTGGTTTCAAAAAGCCTTCACCCTACACTAATGCATTTTCACGTAAAGCGATGGTTACAACTTCAACAAGCTTTAATTAGCGAACACTGAATAGGTTGAAGTGGTTTGTAAACTCCTCTGCAGTAGGGCAGGCGGCACTTTTAATCCACTTTCCTTATTGGCAGGAGTTCAGAATCACCATCTTAAGACAACAACAGGCGTAGCAAATGTAGTACCTTTTTCATTTGACTGCTTGTGTGACAGCACGCAGACCAAGCCAAGGCCCAGCCTTTACTCCAAATTCGAGTATTCGAATCTACTTAATGCCGTTTTCTACCTGGTGGAAAGACTTGAAGCGCCATGCAAAGCAGCTACTAACGCTAGCAAACACATAATATGATTTGACATAAAAGTTTCTCTGAGCAGGTTATACCCACAGTTGTGTCAAATAAATATGATTGTTGCATGAACCACTTAGATACTTTGTGATCATAGGCCAGCCTTTGGACCAAGCCAAGTACAATACCTCCCTCTGCTCCTAGAAAACGTGTATTTAACCAAATTCAATGTCTTCTTCTACCTATTGAGAAATCTTTAAACGCTTAACCGTATATGGCATATTTTTCCTGCGCAAAGGAGGTGCGCATAAGTTAGGCGGAAAAATCTCCGAACTTCTTTTTAAATAAGGGCTGTGAATGATGTCTGCATTTGACTCTAACCTGTCCCCATATTCCACAGGTAAGCTAAAGAACATCCAGACCAACTTCTTACCAAAATTCTCCTCTCCACAATTAAGACCCATGTATTTGGCAGCCTGTATCATTAAGGCTGCCTTTGGATTCATTTTGCATTCGCACGCCTAACTGGCGGTCGAGCCACGCCAGGGATTATTCTTCCCTTTATTCCTAGAACTCATAAATTAAATCCAACTTAATGCCAATTTCCAGCTATCAATTAGTATGAAAGCGCAAAAATCACACAAAATTTTGAACAAAAAAATAAATGGTTTAGAATTGCTAGAGCCGTCAATTTTCCTTCTTAAGAGATATTAAAGTTGAAAAAACAAAAGCATGCCTCAAATACAGCATTTTTTAAACTTAATGACTTTACCTGATATTTGTGGATTTAAATCATACAATTTGTTTGCCTTTAAATTCCTAAATATTTTCTTTAAATTGATGCGATGGCGGTCTCCCTTTCAACTCGTCATCACTTCGGGAAGGAGGTTTGTTTCTACTTTCGAAATTTGTTAGTTTGTCAGTTTTTCTTTTGCTCGTAAACTCTACTTATCTTCTTTTTTGAGGTCCTTGCCCCTCATTTTTAAGTGAACAGAGCAATGGTAGATTTTCTTGTGTAACAAAGAAAATTAATGCCTAACATTTTCAGATTTTTCCTGAGTTATGATTGAGTACTGTACGAAGCGGATTCTTACAATCGCCCTCGTCATCCTTGTCGTGTATGTTATATCTATTTCCATTTGTAATTCCTCTATAGGGTCTCGTCCATTATATTCTTCATAGAAGAGTCAGTCACATTCGCCCTACGCCCGCCGCGAACTTTTGACCATGTTAATCCTTGCATGGAGAACCAATCATTCCATTACCTAACATCCTGTCAACCCTGCGATCGAGTTGACATGGTGAGCTTCTGATTGTTTTCGTTTTACTTTCTATTTGAGGAGGATCCGGTTATTGGTCTCACCTTGCTTTTAACTCCTGAACTTTTTGTACTCATACCTCCTATTTCTGGTTCGTAATCAGATGTCTCTTTTAATATGTGGAAAATCAGTTGAATGTTATCCTCTGGAGCAATGACGTTTTACTGAAATTGGTCAGTCGTTTTGAGGAAGGTACAAGTTTTAACGTCTATATTTTCTTGATATCTTTTGGAGTATCATGCATTAAACTTACATTTGGCTCGTCAGGCTGAATTTCTCCTGAACTGAATGCTTCATGAACTTTTGCCTCAAGATAAAAGTCGTCAGATCATTCCAAAGTCTTATACATGCGCCTCCTTATTCTGGTGCTCCTCTTCCAACTAGACTGTAGGAATTATGGAAAGCGTCGCGAGTGTTTCTCACCTCTTGCATTCATCGATTGAAATAAGTATCCATATACAAGTTTCTGTTCATAGCTCTGATTTTTGTCATCTCACGGCTGAACAACGAACCATGTCTCCATTAGCACAAGTCTAAAATTGTTTCGAATTATTGAAGTACTTCCTCTTCACAGAGCAGTTGAACAACAAAATGATTCTCGCTAACTCAGATAAGTTCCTTTACTGAAGCCGCCTTTGGAGCACTGATTTATCTTTGGTTTAATGTTTGTAATGTAATTTGTTATTGAAATGAAGGTTTATCACTTTATATTTGGTAAAGGAGTTTTTAAGTGCCCGCCCTACAAGATGACTTGTCCTGAACCCACTTCTCACTGGTTCACAGTCAGGATGATGGAAGATTGTCAAGTTCTAGTGTAACCACTCACCGATTTGAAGGTGCAAACACCTTCAGCTATTGCACACGTTCGTTCGTCAATCCCTTCAGGTATTTCTTTTTATTTTGTGCAGAAGTCAGATCCAGCCTGCAAGAAAACTGGTCATCGAGTAAAAGTTGTCTGCAATGCAATCAAACTGAACGGTGATGACAAAAGTGAGAATAAGATGGTCGACTCAAGCCCTTCCAAATGGGTGACCTGTGATCCGAGAACTTTTAGTGATCTACACGCAGAGCGGCGCAGTTTTGTTATCTTTGAAGCCTTTGTTGGCTGCTGTGGTCTCGCCTCCTATTTCTTTGTGAGGCGACAACATCGCCGGCTTGATCAAAGATTGGTAGACAGGGTAAATCGACAGATTTTGGCTTCCAGCTGATTTGCCTTTGCTTTGGGAAGTTTTAAATTTTGTCCTACTCTGTTATTTCTCTGCTAGTTACAGTTGGGCTGGCGGTAAATGGCGGCTCCAATACATTAAGCTGGAGTAGTGTTTCAGTGTTGCACAGTCAGAACCAGTTGGATGCGGCGTACACCTGTGGACCCATCAGCATCCGCCCTTCTTTTGGTAAAGAGGTACCCGACAGTCCATTCCAGTTTAATTACCGAGTCCATGTAAGGGTATATATAATAGCGACTAATTTTCGACCAGACCGCAGTTGGTGGAATGGGGCGGAGTTGGGTTTCAAGGGGTAGGTGAGGAAATGTCTCCACTAAAGGGGGACGACAGATGGTTTCGGCTCAGGGCATCTAGTTTGGGTATGTTATGCCGCTGATAGTATGGAATCGACTTAAATAGTGGAGGAACGGCAAAGTGCAAGTTGGGTGCCACGCGGTTGGCATATGTTCGGCAAAATTCACTGAATTCATCTACTTAGTGGGGACTTCTAAGTCGCCACATTACGGGGAGTCTCGGATTTCTCCATAAAAGGCTGGCTGGAAGTTGCGGCTACAGCGGTCATTTGCTCCGTTTCCGCCTTCCTGAGGAAACCAACTAACAACAAGTTCAAAAATTCCATCCAAATAGTGCTGGGGCAGGTTATGAGCTCTCTTTTGTAGGTCTGCAATTAGGTCACTGTTCAGACCCTTAAACGAGCAAAACTGGATTCTTGTGGTCCTGCTCAGAGGAGTAAGTTGCGTTGAATTCAAAAGCCCCTCCATTTGTGCAAATTTTGATGGTTGGTGAGTTGGCCAGTGACATCGGTTTCAACACCGATTAAGTTTTAACGGCTGCAGCAGACTAGATGCTTTGCTTAAAAGAAGAGATGAGTATGACAAATTGCATAGCCATCGGCGTGGTTTTCGGTCAATTGGGAGAGTATTTTGACTTGGTCGGGTAGATTGACCTGCTTATTGTGTATGCAGTCTACTCTGTCAATATCCCTGTAACACTTTGGTTATATGGACGCAAGATATTTGGCGGTCACTTTAGGATTTGTCTGACCCTTGTACACGTGAGCTTGCCTTCGGGCCATGCCGAGACCTGTTCGCCATGTTGTCTTTATAATACGTGTACCAGCTGCATTTAATGACTTTATATACCGGTTAAGAAGGCCCAGGACGCTAAAATCCCTTCCCTTATGCTAAAATTCTCAGGCCAAAATGATTGGACTTTTAAAATTGTGCATAAGTAACCATTACATTTCTCACAGCCATGCGAAGAATAGATTTTGCATGTGGCTGCCATCTGTATTGAAGCAGGATAAATAGCTAGTGCATCATGCATAGGGTAGCACGGTAAGCTAAAGCTTTTATTTCATAGATTTAAAAGTTTCTTCATCATCTGCTTTCTTAACAAATCAGTCAACAATATGTTGCGCATGCAGTTTATTTAAAGTAAAATATACGGTTCAAGATGGTTTGGACTGACCATAAGTCAAAATTTGTTGTTGTTTAGCCTTCTCGACATTTTCAATGCACCTTGAAAGCGTAATTTTCGCCCCCTCTTGATTGGTTAATTTTGACGTGCTTCCTAGCTTAACACCGACTTAGCCTTCAGTATTATTTTCTTTGTCCTCATGTGGTAGCGTGGGGGAAGAGCAATTTTTGATGCTTGATTTAACTGATGACGAATGTTGCGCCTTAGTGCTTTCCTTTTTCTTTTGTCTTCTCGTATACGCAGGCGGACAGCTGCTGAAGAAGTGCCTTTTATTTGTAAGTTGGTTTTTATTGGATATATGTATTTTCCCAGATTTATGAAGAATTGAACTACACTACATCTCAAATAGAACAGCCTCGTGCCAACTATCTTGAAAGAATTCACGTAGCGTTACAAGATGGAGTTGCTGCATTTCAGACCTGTGCATGCAGTTTGGAAAACGCCGTTGTCCGCGTTACTCTAGGAAAGGCGGCCGTTCTCGCTTCGATCACCATACATGGCTTGTTAATGCTAAGATTCGCTTGGAGAGATGCCTACGGCTCTACTTGCAACGTTTTCTATCGGTAAGTCGCGGGCGTTATTTGCGTCTCATTTTTAAGGATGCTCGTTTTTGCCGCTCAACACAATTTATTGTGATAACTGCATTGTTAATATTTTGCAAACTCTACGCAAAGACTTTACGTGGTTTAGGTCTAAAAGTTGCCTTACCACACTTTTGAAAATTGTGTTGTTACTACTACATGAAGCAGCAGTTGAAAATACTCCTTGGGTGCATTTCCTACACGCCATTCAATGTCATAGTCCCGCCGATCGCTACGTCTTCTCCGTTGGTACTGCCCCATTCGCGATCAGTATCACTTACTTAAGGTGTAAAAATTTGCCACTCCTAAATCCTTGAAAAATTTGCTAAGTTGAGTTCTCCCTTTTCGCTCGTTTGCCACTCTTCGTTCTTCCATTTTCCTTTTAGTAGTTTTTTTGACTCCTTTTGAACGATGTTCCAATCGCTCCTTTTGTGATTGCGAGATCAGAGTTTACCGGTGTTTGAATAACGTTTGTTTACTTCTCAGTGCGGTGATGAAAGAGGATAGTAGTTGACGGTGAATGTTGCCTCCCTCCCCTCTTCAAGTCATGGATTCATATTTGCTACCGTTTGATGGCTCTGTGAGGCGTTATCTTCCCATTGCTAATTCCCGTACCGGACCTATATTCAGTATTTTTATGACAACGGAGGCAGAAAATTCGAGAATATAAGTTGTCGACTTGGATGTGGGTTTATATTAATATCTTGAACTGGGCGGAAATGAGATTCTTCCTATCCGGTCTTTTAATCCTGTAATGTGGGTGATTTCTGATGGTGCTAAGAGTTTTAAATACCTTAGTATTGCAAAAGTCGTTTAACCCGTGTATGAAGGCGCTGAAAATGTTGCTCTTTCTTTATCCTCGTCCCTAATATGTCCGCAGATGTAGCCGCCTGATGCATCACATCACCCTTCAGTTTTGGTCGTGATTGAAATGATACATCATGCTAGAACTTAACCCAAAAGTGACACTCAGCCTGGTTATTCCCTGCATCACTCCGCTTCCTTTTTTTAAGCACGTCTCCTGAAGTCGGCAGAAATGTCTAAAATCTGTTCCGTTCTGGTCTTAAGAAAACTAGCCTAATAGGATTATTAGTCTCCATCACCGCTAAACACCCACTTCCAAATTTGTTTTAGTTAAATTTCCTTTTATAATTCACTCAAACAGAATTTTGTGTTATAAAGTTGAAATATCCAATGTATGTCCTTCAACTTCATTCATGCCATTTTGTGACAACCACAGTGGCAAACAGGACACCTTATTTCTCTTCCAAGATCGGAATGGAGATTTTCTCTACTTTCCCACCACAGCTTGATTTTTCTATCTCTCCATCAGGCATTTGTGTCAGTTAATAGAGTTAAGTCACCACTTAGAAAGCCATACTCCTCCTCTCCAGTCTAGAAAAATGATCTTTTGACCGTCGATTCCAGGACTTACCCACCTCCTGCTCACAGGTACGGCTGCATGAACAGCTCTTGGTATGAGCCGATATTATAGTGACAAGTGTTATATGGGGGTTCAGGATCTTTCCTACTTCTTGAAGTGTCGTAGATGGTTTGCCATCAAGCATTTAACCATACAGAAGAAAAGCAATCTAAAGGGCCTAGTCAATCATGACATCTTTTACACCAGTTTGATAACTTGTTTCCAACGACGTGATTGGCTACCGTGGAGCTCTTTCTCTAATGGTGGCAAACTTTACTGTAACAACAGCTCTTGTAGCCGCTTATCTATCTATTCCCTCCCATTTGATTTTAGTTTCGTATGTGTCACATTTGAGATGAATTTCAAACCCATTTGTTCATTCCCTTTTCTCTAATTTTGAAGTTGATTCGAAAGAATTCTTCAGATCTCATTTCTTTCGTCCAGTTACCTCATGAACCAGACGGGCGTCTCCGGTGTTTGCCTGTCCTGGTGCCTCCAACTCCTAGGCGCATTCTTAGCGCTCTATTGTTCCTACTTCTGGTGGGGACTGCGTCTTTCTACCCACCACGCCTACCTTCACGGTCAACGTCTCCTCCTTCGACATGCATATGAGGGCTATAACAACGATGAATTCAATGACAGCATCGGGGATCTTCACGTTCCCCTCTTGATGGGAGTTTGCGTGGAAGGCGGTGTCGCCTTTATTGACGTGGTGTTGGCGGGAGGACTACCCGCTCTTCTGAATCTCTGGAAACGTCGGTATATAGATGGGAGGCAGGAGGATTGGTGGATGCTAGAATTTGTTGTGTTTTCGGTGAGACAGGCAGTGGTCATCTACTTGGTGCATTTGGGTTCGTTTAATTTGTTTTTTCATTAATACTACTTATATTGGTGCCTGTATATATAAATAGATATCGCATCATAGAAGACCTTTTCATCCGTCTCCTTAGTCGGGATTTGTAAAAGTTATGCATTTAATGGTTTAAATTCCACTGAAATTTGCGTTGTAAGTGGATTTCTTCTTTCCTCAATTTAAGTTTCCGTCTTTCTAAAGGTCTGCCTCTAACCGGGGCGTATGCGAATGGCGTCAACGCGGTGATTCAAACCTGGGGTCTCGGGCGCGCTTCCAACCCCTTTCATCATCTCCTTGTCTACTGGTTTAGTCCTCTCCTTGGAGTGTGGGGAGGAATCCTTACTTTAAAGGGGCTTCAAAGTTCCTCCCTCATGTGGACTAGGCATCCACCCTCATCCGTAGGGCTTTTCGACTTTCGTGAAGCCAGTCTTGCTGCCACCATAAACGCTTCTACCTCCTCATCCTCCTCCGATGCGACAACGCCTCTCATGCACCTGACTAGTCCTTACAATATTGCTGGTGAGGGTCTCCAGTTGGCCGCAGTTTGTGCCATACCGAAGACTTTCCGATCCAAGTCACTGGTAAGCCGACTGAAATGAATTCAAAATTGCTCCCTAGTCTGGTTTTATTCGCTATTGTACCTCTCGTAGAAAGAGGCCTTATTGACGCAAGCAAACATCATTCATTTGTCACGTAGTCTTTCATTACATTGGCTGACCTTTTTCACACCACCGCAACTATTGGCCAACTTGGATGGGGTTTGGAGGCTGCGGTAACTTTCTTCCAATGCATTTTGCCTTTTTGGTATTTGGGGTTGTGCCTAGACCCCCCGTGTTGCCTTAGCTCTACCGGCTGTCTTGTGAGGGGAACTGACTTTAGGAGCCATCATTATGGCAACAATTTGACGGTGCAGTGATGTGTCCTACTTACTCAGTCCAGTTAATTGGTCTATGCTTTGACACTATCGGCAAAACTGATTTTGCAGGCTTCTAGACGCCAGTTTTGGAGATTAGGAAATTTGAGTAGTAACAACTGCCTATTTTCAGACGGCGCTAGTTACCGTCTCCTACAGAACTGACCAATAGCAAGCCTCCATCCTCCAGCTAGTAGCCAATCAAAATGCTCCTTTTAGCTTACCAAAGTGATGTTAGTCGGGCTGTCAACCGTCTTTAATCGGGTTCATGATTATCATAAGTTAGTGCTTGTGCTAGCAGGTCGTCTACATTCTATTTAGGTTCTTCAGAACAGATCTCTTCATTATCAACGTAATGAGTACTCAATAGGAGCAAAGCTGTGTTGGTATTCGGTGTCTAGGGCACGGAGAGTGCTAGTTTGAGTGTTCGTGCCAATGGTCGTAGCTCTGCCGGATCAATTGATCGACCTTTATATTTTATGAACCCTCTGGTTTCCCTGAGCAGTCTACTACCTAATTTGGGCCACTCAGAGGGCACTGAACAAGTTTGCATCCGTCTAGAAAAATTATTTGTTTGGTGCTGGTAGCTTCAATTGGTTACAGCATTTTTGTACCCCTTTTGCTGGTCGTTGAACAACTAAGACTTTTCATCTTTTGGCATCAATAAAGTAGCCTTTGATAGCTCGCACTTCTCAATATTGCCCACATCCATCTTCACTTTTCGTCTTTACAGACACGCCACCGCTCAGATCGAGTGGCATGGCGACGTTCCTCGGAATGCCGGCTCCTTCCGCAATCTATCCGTGTTAGTAATATTGATATCGTCTCCTCAGCTTCGTCAACAGGTTCTCTGAACACCGCTGGACTGGGTGACAGTCGACAGTCTTGTCGTCGCTGTCCCATTAGGAATCAATTAGAGGGCGAGGAGGAGGTGGGCATAATGGAGTTCGTCGGGAGGCTGCGCCGTCGAAGAAGTAGAAGCCTTCACACGTCACCTAATGTTAATGGTTCTCCATGAAGCACAGTCGAGAAATTGAGGTGTACTTATCCTACCTTGTGACTTTCAATTCCAAGAATGTCAGTAGTATACCCAATCCCTGCTGCTTATTACCCTTCAGTAGCATTTGCTTTTTAGTACAGGCTTAAGTTTCTCAGGCTAAACATTAGGCAACCCTACATGGATGGAATTGGCGGTAGTTGCGAAAATCCACAATCATCTATTATAATCTATCTTTCGTAGCGTAGACCTCGATATGGTTGTTGAAATGTCCATCTGTTGTTGTCATAGTTACTTTGTATTTGGGGCCATAAAGGCAATTTAGCTACTCTCTGGCGTTGACATTGCTTAGAGCGCCTCTCGTGACATCACCCTCGAAGTGGTGTCTGAGCTGTCCTCGAAAGCGCTATCTTTACTCTTGATGCTTGCCTCTGAGGTGTCTTCCTCTGCTATGACCTCATTGTCGGGTTCGGTTGGTAGTTGCTGTGACACTTTTCTTGTCGTTGCATGTTCGTTTTGCGTTTGGGTCTCATAGGTTAAGTCAATATATCCAGTTCCAGAAACCTTCTTTGGAACCATGAAAGTCGTAGCAGCAAAACTAAGCTTATAATTCTAGTATTTCCGTACTCGCTAAAAGTTAATTAGTTTTGTATCTGCTCCTGCAGTCTATCAGGCAGTAGCATTCATTCTACGATTAGCATGAAACACTGGGATTGCTCTTTGTTGCAATAGCTTTGGGAGGAGAGCAACTGTCAGCCCGGTAATTAATAGGTCGCTGAGGATTTTGTTGAGACGTATTTGCCTGGACTTCCACTGCCCTCGGACTTGAGAATAAGGTTGGTCTCACCTTTCGGCAATTTTATTGTCCTTGCTGTGTTAATAAGGCCAATGAATAAAGATGGAAGTTGTAATCAATTCTGGTGTATGTGAGTTGTTCACTTGTCTAGGTGTTATCATCGCCACCAGTCTGCAAGGCATGGTGCGATGAAAGCAGGTACTGTGGCGCGACAAAGAATGGTAGGAAGGAAAGTAGGCGTGTCAGTGTACCTATGGCGCCGACGGCGACTTCATTAACTGCCAACTGAATAATCTAGACACCGACATTGTTAGTCGGTACTGTTTTTGGTTCTGCTCTTCCTTTGCAACTTCAGTTGTAGCGCCCATCTGAGCGTTTGTTTGAAGGGGTTGCAGTTTAGTCGTGAACTCAGCACTGATTTCATATTTAAAAGGTTGACCTTTTAGGGCGTCTCACTTCTACTCTAAATTCTTTAGATTCGACTAACCGTCTTGGCTACTCCTAGGCCTCGTTTAACCGTGGATCGCTGACTCATTTCCATTCACGAAGGGTGTTACACGTCTGGACCGATTGCTTGATGCCTAGACCGACATTTCACATTTGCAACACCAGCTGGTTTGGTAATACTTTGGAACTCGAGCCGTTTTCAAAGCGATAAAGTGGGCAAAGAAAAGTCAGCTATGATGAACACTTTATTGCCAATAACATCTCCTTGTTTAATCTACCAATTTTAATTATGATTGTCAAACGCCAAAATCACATAACTATACACAGACAAAAACCGTACCACAGATCTTACTGTAGGTTGGAGATAAGTAGAAGCATCAGGACAGTTAGTCCACCACGCAATACTGCATTTTTAACAGCTGGATTGCAGGCATCCGAATCGCAGGTGCAGTACTTATTCTTGGTATTGCTTCCGGTGCCAGCGCGCTCCACGCAGTAGTAGGAGCCCTTTGACTCCTCGCTAGAGCATCCACGAAGGTAGCGAACTTTGGGTTCCTGCTCTTCACCGTAGACTTGCTTGAATTGGGCTTCCTTGAAGAGATATTTTGCAAATTACGATTTATCCGATTAGCCAAGACCACCCAGCCAGTCCATTCAAACTCACTTGTCTAAGAATGGTGCAAACTTGAGAGCCCAAAGGGCATTCTGTCGGTTTGATCAATTTCGTATCCAAAGGGTAGCATCCCTTCTGCTTAAGAGACTCACACTGATAACACTTGAGAGCCTTTACGCTAAGAGCCGCCGTCAGAAGGGCAATGAGGAAGAGAAAGAATGCGACACGTCCGCGGCTCATTGTGGTGTCAACTGGACATCTCTGGGTGGGAGGTGTGACACGACCGCAAACCGATTTCGAACGGCCACGTCGACCAATAAACAAAGGCCTGTAGCCTAACTGGTTGATTGGCTCGGTAACATTGTCGTGTCACATGACATGACACATAGGCTTCGCTACTAATCGATTATTGGCTAGTAAGTCGCATTGATAACGCGTCATTATTGAATTAACAACAAACAAAAATCAGGATTCATGCCCTACAACGATTATAATTGTGACGAAGTCAGGTGGACTCGACCAAAAAACATTGTGAATGACGCTCCAAATGGCTTAAACTATCTCTCAAGTGATGAAACAGCGAAATATCCAAGGAATTGGTAACAAAAACACCCCCCTTTTATAGGGTTTACCCACATCTCAACTGAAACCTAGAACCTTCTACTCTACTTCCCTGCTTTTACGCAAAATCTGAAACTTAACCACTTGCCGGAGATTAGAGCGTATTCATTCTGGAAACACAGTAACTAACAATCTTGATGGTGGTTTTATGGTAATTTCTGCGTTTTGTGGCATCTTAAATCAAAGCACATGAAGTTAAGTCCCTCTGTCACTCATTTTGCAAATGACTTGAGGGCCTCCACTTTGTGTACACAAAGCCGACGCAGACCGACTCCACAATGAGTACTCAAATTCGAGTCGCAATGAGAAGCCAAGGTCAGATTGATAAATTGAGTAATTACTCGAAATTCATTTTAATAAATACGGTTTTCTTTATTTGGCATAGATACACCGCAAGGAGGAAGAATTAGTTCATTGTTCATTATTAATGTTTGCAAAAGATGAATTTAACTGTTATGGTATTTAAATAAAAAATTAGATCCCTTATATTGAGCACTATCATTTTTTTCTACGAAGGAAATCAGTGAATTTCGCTTTGTGATTTGGGCATTATTTAATTACTTTTAGTCTTTTGTTTCATACTCTCAAATTTACATTAAAGACTGACAGAATTTAGCTGTCCGGCATGAGCAATGCTGACAAGTAGTCAAATTTTGCGTAGAGCTGTCGTTTGCCTTCCGCTGAGGAAATTTGTAAGGGCGCCTCAGGAATGGGAGGACCCGTAATTGACGGGTGGGAATTCCATAATCATGCTTCAAGGTATCAAACAGTTTATTATTTTGTCCAAAATTTGTCCATGAGATCCTTTTCAACGCCTTGTTTCATGCCTTACGTTACTACCGACTGATGCAATTTGTGTTGATGCAATAAGAATTACTATCCTCTTTTTAACGGCACATACTTAAAACTTCCACTTTAAAAGCAAAAATAGTTAAACGTTCTGTTTTTGTCAAATGAGATGTTTATTCATTTAGATTCGAACAATCGCATGTATCCTCTTATCAGCCTCATATTCATCCACTACCTGCCAATGTTTGACAGTTTTTTTGGAATTAGTTTGATTTTTGATCACCTTTTGACGTACAAAAGTGTCGAGTTGACCTCAAAATGACCCCAACCACTCTATTTGTGAGTGTAAACAGAACTGACTTTAGATTAGCTCACGTGGGAAAAAATTCAATTGTAATACAACTGGATGAACTCTTGCTGACCTCGTGAAAACAAAACACGGATACCTTCATTCAATTATTTCGATTTGGAGGTGCATGTCGTTTGGCAACTTGTCAGTCTTGTCAGTCCGATACCTACCCTTCTGAAGGGGTACATCTAAGCCTTACTTTGGCCCCTCTGAAGGAGGTACAAGAGATGAGGATAGAGCTTCTGCACTTGTCCCACCCTCTCTCCTTTTTGTGTTCCTTCCTTGACTAGCCCTCATCAACAAGTTCTAGTAGAGCCTCCTCTTCTCCATGTGAATCATAGGTAGTAATGGAATCTTGTTACACGATTCTTTTGTTAAATCGTCTTCAGGTGAACATTTAATAGTAAACAATACCATGCACCCAAGTGTACTGCACGAAAAAAAATGGGCGAAGCATTCGGAGGATGAAGGATTGCGTGGCATTAGCAGTGTGGGATGGATATGATGTGGATTCTGTGGCCAATAACCCTCCTCCCTTTAGCCTCTCATTGGTCACCAGCCTGACAGGTTGCAATCAGGATCCCAAGTGCAACTGGCATGTGATGACAAGAGGGTGGTTTGAAGGCTGGAGGAGAAGGCAAACGCTCACTACCCTATAGTATAAATGAATTGCCATTCAGCACAGGGAGGAATTGTAACGCATCTGAATTCCTCCAAGTTAGCCAGCCATTGTAAAGGATTCGAATTCGAATTCTTTTTTTAAAAAAGTCGCTTGATGTTTGACTGAACCTATGCGTCTCGGCGCACCACCACTAAGACCAAGTGGTGCATAAAAAACTTTAAGCACCAACACCTCATTTTTTCAAAACGCAGGGCTTTGGAAAGCGCAAAATCCAACCTGTAACTGCTAACACAAAAATGAATGTGCTGCAGAAGTTGATTTCACTTCAATTTCATTCATATCGGACAACTTGAGAGAGAATGGGGGTCTGCTGCCCTCCACCTACATCATCGGACCAGTAAAAATCGCCAAGATTAGACCATAAAGTCAGCCAGATGCGTTCCTCTTCCCCTTAATTAAACGCACCTGACCTCGAATCCCTTTGGTGATTGCCTGTGGGGAGATTTAGGGATCTTCCAATTCTCCAATAGGCTTGGAAGCCTATTCTGGATCTGGGACCACGGGTCTTCGATTGGTATATTGCAAGTAAAAGCTATCACACAGCTCCGAGAGTAGTAGACACATTTCCTACTCCGTCCTCAACTCCACAATCTGCCTTCGCATCCAACATCCGTCTGACAGTGAACAATCTGGACTGCACATCACAGCACTGCGGCTATGCCGATGATCTACGTGATGTGGCAGGAATCAATGGCAAGGCACGACAAAAGAGCTTTATTTTTGTGTGCGCAGCGGTTGCGGTGGCTGTTGCGATGCGAGCACATCATGTTTACACATTCTGGCGGCGCAGAGAGGTACTGCGGATGTCGGCGTCATGCTATCAACGGAAATCCGCATTTGACGCGCCAATGTAGTCGGCACTATCAATACATCTTGTTAAGTATCCAGAAAATGAAACCTTAATAAGTAAATGAGTGGAGAGCGGAATAGAATGGTCGGTTGAATAGCACTTGGATTGGTGGATGGACGCGTGCCAGCGTACCGAAACTAGCCTACAACTTTTTAAATCTACCATCAATCGTTTTACTTTGCCGTGTTTCTCCCTCAGAACCCCTATTCTACGCTTGGCATGAACGACCTTTTCACCACAGGACCGCGAAAACGCCTCACTCAGCTGTCATGTGCCGCAATCCATATTGATCGCAGTGTTTAAGGCTCGTGTTTGGCAGTCTATCTGTTCGTTCAACTACACATCCGTCTGACCGTCCTCCACACTTGCTCACACCTCCAAAGTCGTACTGCCCTTGCCACTATGCGAGAAATCATCTTTTTACACATTGGTCAGACGGGTATCCAAGTGGGCCATGCTATGTGGGAGTTGGCCTGTCTCGAGCATAATGTTGGAAGGGACGGTGTGCCCGTCTCACTGACACATGATGACGGTATCAGCATTGGTTCGCTCTTTGTCCACTGCTCCAACGGAAATTACACGCCTCGAGCCCTTCTCATCGATCTGGACCCAACAGTTGTTGGTAAGTTTGGTTATCATGTGAATTATATTCTTAAAAAATGAATCTATATCTGTTCTGGGCACCATTCTTGTCTCTAGAACAATTGTTTTGATAGACAATACGGTTGATTTAGAAGGCAAGTCTACTAAGTGTCAATTTAAGTAGTATCCACCAGTGTCTTAAGTGCTTACCTATCCGTACTCCCATTCGTCTCTTTACTGCATCCAACCGCTCAAACTCATCTATCACTAACCGGATTCCCTCCCTTTTCCCAATTTGAGTCTAATTTTACTGATCTTAAAATTGACTTTTAGACGAGGTTCGTGTCGGTCATTACCGCAATTTATGGAACTCCTCCAACCTCTTCAGTGGTCGAGAGGATGCAGCCAGCAACTACGCAAGAGCCTATTACTCCCAATCGCAATGTCGACTTATCGGAGTGCTCGATAGAATCCGCATTCTTACTGAGCAATGCGACTGCCTCAATACCTTCAAACTGGTCTATTCAGCCAACGGAGGCACGGGTTCAGGGCTAACTGCAGCCATTTTGGAGGAACTCGCATGTAACTACGGCTCAAAGCATCGTCTAGCGACTGCAATCTATCCCTCTCCACTGTTCTCGCAAATTATTGTGGAGCCCTACAATGCCACTCTGCATACCTCCTCCACCATTGACTTCTGTGACTGTGTGACCGTGGCAGATAACCAAGCCATTCACAGGATCGTGAACGTTCACTCGGGTCCCAATTCGGCCGGATACACATTGGCAAATCGGCTGCTAGCCCGTCTCATCAATGCTCAATGCCTATCCCATCGGTACAACTTCATGGGACAGCAGAAAGTGGAGGTAGGCGAGTTGCTGACCAATCTTGTTCCCTATCCCCGCATCCACTTCCCTACCATGGCGTATGCACCATTCTTCAATCAAATGACAGCAACGTTTGAAACGCCCAGTGTGAGTCAAATGCTGGAGAGGATCTACGATCAGGATAATCAACTTTCTAGCGTCTGTATTCGCAATCAACCTTTCATTGCATGTGCGCTGCTCTTCCGAGGCAATGTCTCACCATACGAGGTGAATGAGGCTCTCAAAGCCATCAAGTGCAACAAGAAGGCTGAATTTGTCGACTGGTGTCCAACTGGATTCAAGACAGGTCTCAATTTTACGCCACCAATAGAAGTTCCTAGTGAAGGTTTTCCAGGCCTAGACTCTACCTGTGTCAACATGTTTGCCCATAATGTTGGCATACGTGAGGCGTGGGTTAGAACCGCTGACCACTTCAATAGACTCTACTCAAAGAGAGCTTTTGTTCACTGGTTTGTCGCCGAGGGTTTGGAGGAATCGGAATTCATTGAAGCTCAGGAAACATTGACAGGCATCATCAACGACTACGAGGAGATTGGCAAATCACTTAGTGGCCTCTGTGAGTCAGAACAAAAGCAACAAAGCAATGTGTGGATGATGGATGAAAAGAAACCGAAAATTGGAGCAGGTGGTGATAGCGGTATGTTCAAAAGAAAGCCACGATCAAGGTTTGCTTTTAAAACTAAGGAAGGACATAGGGTTGCACCACGACGTCAAGGCAACATTGAAATAAGTCCAATCAGTTCTATAATCTCGTCTATAACTCCAGAACCATCATCTGAGGCGGAATGCAACACAAAGGGTGTAAAAAAGAACAAAAATACAAACTGCCTATCGGATCCATCACTCACGCTTCGTCCAACTCCACGACCCAGGCGCTCCCGTCTACTAACCTTCGACAGTAGCCATCAAGAGGAGGAAAGGTCTTGTTGTTCAGTGTTAATTGAAGACTTTGGCAGAGGCGACACAACAATGGAATCAATGGGAGAATATCAAGAGAGGGAGGGAGAATATAGGGACTCCCTCATATTACAGTTTGAAAATAGCCTCTCCACAGTTACGGTAGATTGGGACGACTAAAAGCCGTGCGTTGTTTGTTGTTTTATTTAACTTGTACTCTTATACGACCTTTAGGATGATGTATTGATATCATCTGTATCAAAAATGCGTCTTTTCCAACAAAAAAAACAAACTGTGCTAATAAAGTTTAGGTACTTGGCTTATGCTTCCTACCTTATCAAAAATAAAATCTTTTCTACTTATTTGTCCAATCAGTAGGCAGTTATTTGTAACCTTGAAAACACAGGTGGGAGGTTAAAGCGTTTGAAGTGGCCGGCGTCGACTTAAAATTAAAACAGTGACGTGATTTCTCTAACAAAAAGTATAGTCAGAAAAAGTGTTTTATAAGGTCATCTTTGCCATTGCTTCGATACGCCTTAAAGCCGTTCCACACTGTCGGCCTGGACGCATATTGGATTTACAAAGGATGAAGAAGTGGATTTTAGAGATATGCTTAATCATTTTTGGCGAAGGAGAGCAAAAAACCAAACACAGAATAGCCGACTTTAAACAAGCTTCAAGGTTCAACCAAAAAAAAATGAAACTATCAGAATAAAAAATTACTTACACGAAAATAGGGAATTTAAAAACATTGCGGTGGTTCGTTAGTCGTAACCTTTTTTCCCCAGTGTGTATAAATCATAGCACATACTAGACAAACTACAATAAGGCTAACAAACAATTCAGCAAAGCGTGCACAGAGACTCCACCCATAAAAAAAGTAAAGGAACACACGACGCCTCTCTGGCAAGGTAAAGGAAATTGGGAGCGTCACGGACACAGGCTGAGAGTAAAATGGCGGATGTAGACGAGCATGAAGGTATGGTAAGGTGCACGAACCACCTTGCTCTTAAGGTCGGAGGTTTTGTCACGGTCTCAACTGCATTTAATGTCACTAACGCAGCAACACACAGTCGGTCTAGGGTAAAGCCAAAATAAATGGTACCACAATAATGAGGCTAATAATTGGAACAGCTCTCAATTAGCCCGCTTTCTCACAAATATTAATCGTAGCAATGGCAAACCTTCAAATCTACTGCTTTTAGATGAAGGGTAAAGCATAACAGAAAGGCTTCTGCGTATTCAGTAGGGGCGTTGAATTTACGCCGCATTTAAGCAAATAAAAGGACCAACCACGGAAACACAAAGAGAAAAGAAAAAAATAATTCATTTTGATAATCAAAAGTAGGAGGAAGGCGAAAAAAGTTAAGTAAAATTAAAAACACACTTATACAAGTGATACTTTACATACTTTGCATCCTAATAACATCAAGGTGGTACGTTGCATCACGCATAATAAGAGCCACCACTGATTCCGAATGTGGCGACGACGAGTCGTCAGTAGCCTCACGATGGAGACGAGAAGCGCC